TCACTAACTACGTGGTGGAGAAGAGGGACGTCCGGCGCAAAGCCTGGCAGGCGGTGGACACCACGGTGAAGGAGCTGAAGTACACCGTGACGCCGCTCAACGAGGGCTCGCTCTACGTGTTCCGCGTCGCTGCTGAGAACAGCGCCGGGATGGGAGAGTTCTGCGAGATGGAGGACGCCGTGCTCGCCAAAGACACATTCAGTGAGTACCGGCTGCTTCTAGGGCTCTCATGGCTAGTGAGCATGGTCAGGGTGGCTTGTTAAATGAGACACAGGAGAGTTCAACCTGGATCATAAGCTGTGTTAGAGCTGAAGGCTTCATCCACAGCAACAGATACCCATTTATACATTATTGCTGTTATGATTGGCTGTGACTAAGACAAAATCACAGACCATCTATTTCTATTTATTTATTTTAGGGGCAGGTAATATAAGATAATGTTCTTCTCCCTGCTCCTGTCTGCACTTTAAGAATAAAGCCATACATGTTGGGATGAAGCAAATAGCGAGAACCAAGTTGTACATTTTGAGATGAGTCGTCCGTGTCAAGAGAAATGTCAAAATATTGAGAAAGAAAGTAAATGTGAAGTAAGAAGTATTTTAACTGTGCTTCATAAAGGAGTTGAGTTGATATCTCTACGAGAGCTTCATGATGGACCCTCAAACTGATTTATTCTCCATGCACCTTGCAGCCACCCCCGGACCCCCCTACGCCCTCACCGTGGTCGAGGTCACCAAGAGACATGTTGAGCTCAAGTGGGAACCCCCCAAGAGCCACGGAGGAAGACCCATCACCAAGTAAGCGTCCTGAAACAGCCCTGCAGAAGACGTTTGTAGTTTAAACCTAATCTATACTTCAGCCACTGAGGGATGGGACGGGAGAACTGGTTGGGACGCGTGTCCCAGACGATAAACCCATGTCCATATGAGTCGTATCTTTGAATCTATCATTTATTTTATGTCCAATATATTCACCTTAATGAATGTATCCGCATTGCTACTTCTGTTACCATTCAGAGGAACAATATATGCCTGCCAGTCACGCTCTGATACAAACAGGTTAACACACACTCATCTCGACACGGTTAAAAGCTGTTTGCTTCCCGTCACTCACACCTGATCACCCGGTGATCACCTGTATGCTCTCAAGTGAACGCTCCATCCTGTGTTCAATCTCAGAACTGCATGTTACATCAAACGTGTGCAGATCAAAACAAACTAAATACATTATGGCTCCAACAGTGTTCTTTAGAACATCTCCCCTCCCTCTGAACCTCCGCTCACCTGTCCTCAGGTACGTCATCGAGAAGAAGGAGAAGCTGGGGTCCCGCTGGCTGAAGTGCTGCAAGACCCCCGACAAACAGTCCCAGTTCAAGGTGACGGACGTGGACGAGGGCACCGAGGTGCAGTTCCAGGTCCGGGCGGAGAACGAGGCTGGGGTGGGAGACCCCAGCGAGCCCACCGAGATCCTGACCATCGAGGACGCCACCAGTAAGAGCCCCCCCCCCAAATCCGCAGCCAACAGACACGCTAAACTTCACAGAGTTTGGAAAACCAGAAAGAATCCAGCCAAAATATGTTCTGCTATTTTACTGTTGTATGTAGTGTTGGATATTTGACTTTGACCCTTTTTATATAAATATATTTATTTATTTTATTTTATAATTCATATTTTTGCTTCTTATGTTGCATATCTTTTCTATTTCATTTTTTTATTTTGCATTTTACTTTTTATATTTATATAACTATTTCATCTTTTTATTTCACATCGTCACTTTAACTCGTTTATATAAATGTTATATTTTCTACCTTTTGAACCATCATGAATCCCAGTTCCCGGGATCAAAGAAGTATTCTGATTGGTAGAAAGTTCGTAAAGCACCTGGATGTTTTTTAAATGGGCCCCCCCCTCCTCCTCAGGCGCCCCCTCCCCCCCTCTGGAGTTGGCAGTACCTGAGGCCAGCCGGGAGCACATCAGCGTCACCTGGAAGCCCCCGACCAAAGACGGCGGCTCCCCGATCTCCGGGTACCACGTGGAGGTGGCCGAGGCCCGGCCCGAGCTCAAGTGGCTGCGCGTCAACAACCGGCCAATCAAAGAGCTCAGCTTCAGGATCGACGACGGCATCAAGCCCGAGAAGAAATACGTGATCCGGGTCCGCGCCATCAACGCCGTGGGAGTGAGCGACCCCTCCGACGTCTCCGACAAGGTCTTCACCAAAGACCCCGACTGTAAGCAGCTCTGCCTTTTATTCCCTCCCTTTAATGTTCCTCATCAATACTCCTTAAGAAAATATGATAGAAGTAATCAGTCATAAATATGCAGGAAACAGGTAAGGCTTTAAAAGTCAAGAAAAGGCCTCTTCTGTGGATTTAATAATATATAGGAAGTGAAAGTATGATGATAACCTCAGAATAATAAATGTCCCCTGCCCCCCCAGGCGCCCCCACCCTGGACCTGGCGTCTCAGGAGGTGGTGGTGGTGGAGGGGGAGAAGCTGCAGCTGAAGGTCCCCTACAGAGCCATCCCCACCCCCAAGATGGTGTGGAAGAAGGACGAGGTGGAGTGCAAGGCTGGCGAGCGGCTGTCCATGACGGTGGAGATGAACAGCGCCCACCTGGACCTTCTGAAGAGCAGCCGGGCCGACGCCGGCGCATACGCCATCACGCTGGAGAACAGCCTGGGCAGCGCCACCGGCACCGTCACCGTCAAGGTCATCGGTACGAGAACTTCACACTAATACACTGTTTAGGACTGGGGGCAAAGGCTGGACCCACCATGCCGACTCTTCAGAGGGACTGAT